TTATATGAAACAACTTCATCAAAAAAAGTATTATATGAAACAATTTCACAAGATTAACAATTTCATGAAAAAAATTCATAAGATTAACGACGGATGAGAGTAGTTTTTACGGTTTTTACAAATTGGAGTGGTTTTCATTTGATCGCTCATATATATATATATATATATATATATATATATATATTAATAACCATAGTGATGATATTAGTTTGGGTTGGCATTGTTGAGCAGAAGTTAGGCTAAGTAGATAGGTGAGAATGTGACTACCATTTGTAATTAGAATGATTTAATTATTAAAAACAGACATTGGATATGTTTGATTTATAGCTGTTATGCTACTAAGATTTCTACATATATAAACTCATTCGTGTTTGTTTTGGTAACCATAGGAGCGATTTCAATCGCTTAGGGATAAGTCACAGTCTAGTATCGATACCCCTCCCCTTAATGAGGCATCTCTTTGGGAGCAGAGTGTCGGAGGACGGAAGAAGGGCCGTCTTTTTGGTTTTAGGACCTCCTAGGATCTCTCTTATGCTATGGTTGGTAGATGTAGCAGTAGCACCGGGAGATCGTACGATTCAACAATGGAGGTATGTTGGTTATATTGTCATATACTTTTTCATTACTTTCATTGCGAACAAATTATTGACTTTGTCGAATATTCAATAATTACAGGTAATGGAGTTGAGAGAGAAGTTAACAAGGGTAGCGGAGGAGACACGACTATGGGAGGAACGCCATCATGCTGAGATAGAGGCCGAAAGGAAGAGTAGGGCAAATTTGGAGGCCGAACAGGCCAAACACGCTGCCCAGTTAGCCGAACAGATCGCACTATCGGAGCATTTTGCTACATTTATGCGGCAGTCAGGATATGTTTTCACCCCTCCCCCACCTCCTGGTAGTTGGATTATATGAATTTGAACATAAAATTGTATGAATTGAATATTTTAAATTTTATCAGTTGATTAGTTTTAATTTGTTCACAGTTTTAGTTTGTTATTTTATGACAAAGTTTTGTATAAATAAATATAGGAATTATGTAATTATAAATTATTTGTTTTTAAATTACTAAAAGCTAACGACATATTTCCATCGCTAAAAGTTTCTGGTCCCTCGGTAATCTGTTGCTGAAAGTATCCATTGCTAATCGGTTGCTGAAAGGACCCGTCATTGAAAGTTTCCCTCGCTAATCCGTTGTTGAAACATTTCTGTCGCAAATCCGTTGTAAATACTATTTGTTGTTGATCCGTCGCTGACAGCATTACCTACGAGCTTTTGACCGACAAAAGATCAACGACAGATCAACACCAGATTATGCCTTTAGCGACAGATCAGTGACGGAATTTTCCGTCACTGATACTCCCCATTTTTGTACTGTAGAATTACAACCATAAAATTAGATGAAGTAAAAACTTGAGTCTTTCATGTGTTTTCGTAGTTTGATCGCATTCTTCATGGACTTTCTCGGCCTATGGTCTGGCTTTCTAAGTCTGTTTTCAATAAGTAGAATAAAAGGTCCAAGTTTTTTCAGGTTTTTCCGGGCTTTTCGGGTTCGAGTTTTTCATGCTTTCAAAGAAATGTTTTGAGCTTTGAGCTTGCTGGGCGGCCCGAGCTTCGGACTTTTTGTGCATCTCAACTCCAAATCATTTCACTCAGCAAGCACTCATCAACAACAATTTGGATGCCATATCTGATCATATTCGATTCTTCAGATGATGATGAATGTCATCATGATATTGTAATTTCTTCACTATGAAAATGGGAAAAATAATACGCAAAACTCACCAAACGACAACGATATAATATGCTTAATCCGGTTTCAAGAAAGGGGAACCTTCATATATAAGATATGAATGATACATAAATGCAAACTGGAGCTGGTACATAAATGCAAATTGGAGCTGGTTTTTACAGGATAAAAAATCAATGATTGGATAAACTCCTAGAAAAACCAAACGGACTCGCCAACTAAAAAGTAGGTTCCGGAAAGGATAAGATGCATTATCAATCAAATAAAATGAAAGATGAATTTATACAAGGTAGGAAAGATGATCAGAAAGCTCCTAATGAAATATTGCACTGTACACTAATGCGTGTTGTTTCTGTAGCATGCATCCCTTCTGTTGAAATAATAGCAAAACAACACCAAATCGATTTCCCTCGCAATCTTTGCAGACAAGGTGTGTAAATTACCAGTTTGCAATGATCGAATAATTCAAGGCATCTCATAGAAATACGACCATAAACATCACAGTATGCCATTCAAAACCCTCTGATAGTAATCATATTGGCGTGTTCTCCATGCATCTAGGCTGCTGGTAATAAGAGAAAGCACCACCGACACACATTGCTGCAACAAAATAACTAGATCGTCATCTAAGGACAACCAGACCAGTCCAGTGAAAAATTAAAATAAAAATTAAACGAAAGCATACTTCCTCCGTCAAACTTAAATGAAAACGTTTCCTTAAGTTCTCTACTGTCCTAGGACCACTTTTGAAGCATGGAAAACCAGACTCCTGAAGAGAAAAATGAAAATATGCATGTCATTGCAAGTTATCCAACTGAGATTCGAACGTTAAGGGGAAGAGTAATTGATGGTGTTGTTGATTGCATACGATTTTTGACACTGCCTTCAGAATAAAGAATACCGAATTGTACGTATATATATATATATATATATACACACACACACCATGTTTGCTAGATAAAGATGGCATGTTATACGTGCTCCAAGCCTAACTGAAAGATACTAAATAGCATCTCCTGTGTTATTTTCTATACAGCTGGCTAGATGTTTACTGTAACGCTTGCTACCCAAAAAATAACAAACTGCCAACTACTGCAAAATAGTAAATCCACAAAATGGTGAATAAGCTTCCATTACCTGCAACATCTCAACAAGTAGAATTATCTGATCTGCATGCTTACGGCATGTCAGAAACCCTTGGATGCACAAAACCTGAACACAGAAGCCAGATAAGCATCATAAACATGAAAATATTTCTACATAAACATGGCAACTTTGATACTTTGAAGTAATCGAAGAACTCGCTTGGAACTCCCTCAGCATCAGAATCCATAACCTAACACAAGACCAATGCCAAAGTCACTACCTACTTTTATAGTTACTGCAACAGTGTCATTGCCGGTAGTACTTACCTCAAGAAGTTCACGGGTTAACTTGAAAGGTGCACTCTCAAAATTTACACCCCCAGGTGAATTAGAGAGCATGAAGCCAAAGTCGATGTGTATAACATGACCTTCTTCATCCAGCAAGAGGTTGCCATTGTGCCTATCTTTCACCTAGGTAGGTGGAAAAAGAAAGACAAATGGTGATGCATGAGATAGCCTACTTGCATTCATTTCTATGGTAAAAGAATTGCCATTCAACTACAGAATGGAAGAAAATGTTTCCTACGCAGTTGATTGACTGCATGATTATCGAGAACAGAAACAGTAAGTATATATGGTCAAAGACCAAGTTCAGTTATACAAATTTAGACATGATAAGAGACACAGGTCTATTTTAACAGGAAGATAAAGGGCAGCCAGAGGCAATAGGTATATATGGTCATATATCCAAGAAAATGATTGCTTTGGACAACATGTAAAGAAAATAAAGACTGTTAGATGGAAAAACAAAAAGCAAAAGGATTTAATTTGTAAAGAAGCCATTTGAGCATTTGAACTAACTTTTTGCTAAGTAATTGTTGATGAAAGGTTTTCTACACATCAGTAATGAAAGAGGGGGGGGGGGGGGGGGGGGGGGGCAAATGGCATTTCAAAGAAAAAAACACACACAATCCATCACTTAAATTTCACTAGTAATAACTTCCATGGAAATCATTCACCACTCATTTACCAAGGCAACTCAGTTATAATGGGACTGGTTTAAATTCCCTTTTTCCAATGGTTACATAACCACATTCTGAGATTGATAAAATGTTTAAAGAAAATTCTTATACACATCTATTTCGTGTAGCACATTTGTAAATATCTATGCTTAAAAAAGATTTCCAATATTGTAAGCAAAACTAGGGTTGCACAGAAAGTCACCCGATCGATTTAAACCGACCGATCATAATCGGATAGCCAATTGTAATCGGATCGTATTGGATCCAAAATTTTAACATCCAAATTGGATCGGTCGATTCTTGGATGGCAGTCCAACATCCAATAAAACCGAACCGATCCAATCCAATTCCCCATCCAATTATCATCCAACTAACATCCAATTAATAACTATACATAATTATTAACATTTTACGATATTGTTTTTTAGTTGATATTTATACACATTGTTTTTTTAATAACTTAAGAAAATATATGAAGAATTGGTTGAAATGGTGGATTAACAGGTTTAATATTGGATCAAAAGATTAGACGAATCCAATCCGATCCAATGAATAATCAATAGTAACATCCAATGGATGCAACCAATCCGATCCAATCATCCATTGGATTTGGATCGGATTGGATGTCCAATGTTAATCGGATTGGATCATATGACAAAATCCAACATCCAATGGATGATTGGATCGGATTGGTTGCGTCCATTGGATTTCAACCGATGAACACCCCTAAGCAAAACCATGAACATATGAAGTACATTATAAGTAGGCCCATGGGCTTGGACAATTATACATAATGGAAATCCTAATGCTACTGATGCTCCCCAAGCTGGAGCAACAAAATTACTAATTATTTAAGCTTCCTATCATAATCATTAAGAGGTTCCTCATTTGCTTATAGTAATTAGTTGTAATGGAACGTGAATCCACTTGTTGCATCCCAATAACCACACTTGGATAAAAGATCCAGGACTTGGTTTTTGAGCAAAATAAGTGCACTTCCTTAAAACTGAAACCTTATAATTGCCAATAAAGTTAGCTATGTTGCCAAGATATATAACCAATAACCTTTTCCAGGAGGAAGCTTTCACTCATCGTTGAAATTTGTTGGAGACTAGGTCAGCTTTGACTGAACCAGTGCCCCCCCTGCTTCCTTGAGGCTGACCTAGTTCGGATCATCTCTACTCTACGTTCAATGAACCATCATCCTCTCCTCCTTGTTGAGTTATTAGATAAGGGAGCTACATGCTTTGTCATAATGTTGGTGGGAACTACTAGACTACTAGTGCTATACTTAATCAATGGTGACTAAGTTTAGGAGTTAATTTACATTGACAATATATAGGTGGTGCCATGATAAGTTGTAAAAAACAAGTAACAAGACACAGAGGGATATAAACACATTTGTGTGTTTATCGCAGTGTCATCTTTGAAGCTTCCAAGATTTGAAATTTTCACTTTGGTGATTGTATATCTAGTTCTCATGTTTTGTAATTCACGGTTGTTTATTTTGGAAAGGAATGAGAGGTTGCATTCGAAAGCTTGAAAGGTTATAAAGCTTGTGTATGGAGTTGCATGTTTTGTGGTGCAACTTGGCTTCTGAAAGAAGTGGCATATGCTTCAAAAGGTAACCCGGAACATTTTCTGAATTTACTTGTGAGTCTCTTGCATGCCTGCACTTTGACTACACTGTTAGTGTTTATGATCACAATATCATTCACTAGATAACCAAAACAATTCTTTTACCCTGATGGAGCTGTGGACAAACAAGCAATCATTATCACCGTAAGACATGCAAAATTGGCCGACAAGCTAGGGATGGGTTGGCGCAGCATCAAGGATCAATCAGCAGAAGCATAGGATAGATCGATCCAAGTTCGGGGGTAGAGAAGCTCAGAAGAACAGACAAAGAATTTTATGCATTTACTGCAATAAACCGAGACACTTAAGAGAACACTGCTGGAAATTAGATGGGAAACCACCCAACATAGAATGGGGAAACCGTGATGGCAACAGAGTGATGAATGGGGAAACTCTGGTGGGGCAGCAAAAACCTCAATAGGGCAGCAGAGATCTGAAGCACACATTGTTGAGCAATTCAAACCTGAGGAGAATTCAACAACAGGAAGGTTCAGCGACGAAGAAATTGAAAAGCTAGAGAAGTTTTTTGGATCTCTCAAAAAGCCATCAGAAACTTGCTCTTTTAACTCTTTCAGGTAAACCACCATTTCCTTTTTTGTCTAAAAGCCTGAAGTGGTCTTGTCAACTCATGGATAATAGACTCTGGCAGCACTGACCATATGACACATTCTTCCCATTTTTCCCACAAGTACACTCCATGCCCTAGTATCCAATATATTACAGTAGCCAATAGTTCTTTAGCAACTGTTGCAGGCTTTGCAGCTATACATCATACACTGCCTTATCCAAAAAAATGTCTTGCAGGTACGCCTTGTTTCAATCTAAAAGCTCACCCATGATCTTAAAGGTTGAGCTATTTTTTCTCTTCGTATTGTGTTTCCAGGAATAGGACTCGAAAAAGAAGAGAATTAAAGTTGCTAAGGAAAGAATGGCCTTTATCATCCTGAACTTCTCCGAGAAAAGCAACATTCCACCTTCATCCTTTTTGAGTCCATCTAATAAAGATACAATCCAGTTGTTTCACCTGTTAGGGTTTTGAATATCATGTTCCCTCATTTATTTCAAGGATTATATATTTCTGAGTTCCATTGTGATAATTGCGAATTGGCTAATCATATTCTGCATCTTTTCCTATAAGTAATAAAAGGAGCTCTCTTCCATTCTAGTTAATCGTTGGTTTTGTATCCTAATTGATGATTGCACTCGGGTTACATGGCTCTTTTCCTTAAACAAAAATTTGAACTTAGCATTCCACTCAATGATTCAAAACAAGTTTGAGGTCAAAATAAAGAGTTTTAGGACCACAATGCCAGGGGAAATTTCAACCGGATTTTAACACCCTACTTTCAATCACAAAGTATTATCCATGATTCAACATGTGTTAACATACCCCAACAAAGCTAAAAGATAAAATGGGCATTTACTTAACACTACCAGAGCTTTGCTTTTCAAGAGAAATGTTCCTAAATCCTATTGGAAGTTCAAAACTACGACTCAGGCTCAGGGAATGTTCTTAAATCCTACGTCAACACGAGTTCAACACAAGAAAGCAAAACTACGACTTAGGCTTAGGAAATGAGAACATAATAAGGTTTGATCCACCTTTACACACACAACATGATCTTACTAATACGGAAGATGATCTACCTATTGCTAAGAGAAAAGGGACCAAAGTAAGAAAAAAACAACCATTCTATCCATTATCTCACTGTCTCCCTTGAAGGCCGATCACCAACCTACAAAAACTTCATTATGAGTCTAAATATCATTTATATCCCTAAGAATGTTTTTTAGGCATCATCAAAAAGGGAATGGAGGGATGCTATGAGGAGGAAATGAGTGTATTAGAAAAGAATGAAACATGAGAGGTTGTTGATAAACCTGTGAATTGGCATCATGGGAAAGATCATTCAACCTAATATTCTATCATCGCATTACACACAGTTATGATGCCATTCATACTCATTAACTGATTGTGCCAGACTATTTCATTATTTGCATGTTTGAGACTGAGTACCGTATGAGCTACCAAAGAATACAAATTACATATCAGGAAGTACAAGGTATGATATGTGTTTCTATGATCTCATGTCACACCTACTCATCACAAATTAATTAACATGGTACCAGAGCATGTTATTTAGAGGATGTTGAAGAATTTCTGGAGCTGTCAATAATTGCATAAAGATCTCGGGGATCCTGTCAAGTAAGGGTGTTATCCCTGATTTCCAGCATTCTGTTTTTAGAGATTTTCACTATCCTTTCTTTAGTTGAGAGGATTCTCCTCCTTGTGTATAAATAGCCTTGCTTTGTGTTTTATAATTAACTGGAAAATATATGAAAAGCCTTTTAGGCTCAACTCTGTTTGGTTTCTAGATAGTATCGGAGTGTGGTTTACGGTCATCACCTTTCATGGAAAACCTTTCCTTTAACTTCAGTAGATACCAACCAGACCAAAAGGATCTGGTTAGCTAGTCCACCAGCTCCACCACCGACCAAAACAAATTCAACAATCCTCCCGCACAGTTCAACAAATGGTTGCTCTAGATATCTTTCCCATCACTGGTCACAAGCTAAACGGCCAAAATTTCAGCTTGTGGTCACATTCCATCCAGATCTTCATTGGCAGCAAGGGAAAAGAAAACTCTCTCTCGGAGAAAAGTGTGTCACCCGAAGAAGGAGACCCCACTTACAAACAATGGAAAACCGAGAAAAATCTCGTAATGTCGTGGCTTCTCAGCTCCGTGACGGATGAAAATGGAGAGCAATTCATCTACTACAAAACCGCTGCTGAAATCTAGGAAGCAGCAA